TTTGCCTGCCTGTGTGTGTGTGTGTGTGTGTGTGTGTGTGTGTGTGTGTGTGTGAGTGAGGATGTCATAGCCCCTGGAACTGGAGTTACAGACAGTTGTGAGCTACCATGTAGGTGCTGGGAATTGAACCCAGGACATCTAGAAGAGTGCTCTTAACCACTGAGCCATCTCTCCAGCCCCATAAAGTCCAGATTTTTTTGTTTTGTTTTCCTGAGCTTTTGCAGCTGTCAGAGAAAAGGGCCTCCCACGCTCTTGAGAAAGGGCTGGAGAGATGGCTCAGTGGCTGAGACTATGGCTGCTCTTCCAAAGGGCCTGAGTTCAGTACCGAGCACCTGCTTGGTGGCTCACAACCAAGATAATGAGATCCAGTGCCTCTTCCGGTGTGCAGACGTGCATAAAGACAGAACACCCATATACATAAAATATATAAACAAAGCTTTAAAGAAAATTTCAAAAAGGATCTTGAAGAAAGAATTAGGTCTGACAAGGCAGACAACCTGAGCCAGGAAAGAGTGTGGGTTCTGCAGGCCGACTGCCTGGGTTTGTGTTTGTGCCTTAGTTGTGTGACCCTGGACCAGTCACTTAACTGCTCTGTCCTGTCTTGTGCCTTCATCCTTACAGCAAGGATGGGGATGCAGAGTGTGGAGGGCAGCAGGAGTGGACCCCCAGAGCCTTAGTCAGCCCTTGGTCAGGGAAATCCTCTTATATCTGGTTTTATTTCCTGTAAGGAGCCGTGTAAAGCCAGTTGAGTACAGCCAGATGTACAGTTACAGCTACAACCAGTATTACCAGCAGTACCAAAACTACTATGCCCAGTGGGGCTACGACCAGAACACAGGCAGCTACAGCTACAGCTATCCCCAGTATGGCTACACACAGAGCACCATGCAGGTAAGCACATTTGGCAACTCTCGGTCCTATTTCACCATCAGTGAAATTGGTCATGGACTTGGGTTTTGAAAAGGTTGGCAAGGCTAGAGACCCAGTTCTGATTGTCAAAAACCAGCCAGTATTTTCTCAGGCTCCTGACCATCCTCTCCTCTCTTGACAGACATATGAAGAGGTTGGGGATGATGCATTGGAAGGTAAGAGTCCCTCCTGCTCCTGTTAGCTGTTCCAGCTCTGAGGCCCTCAGCTAGATGCTGAGGGACACTAAGGATGTGTGTGTGTGTGTGTGTGTGTGTGTGTGTGTGTGCTTTCCAGTGGGCGTGGACACACCCATGATTGCTAGGTGCCATATGTTACAAAGAATGAGTGCCCCTCCCAGGGAGCCCATTACTTCCGGGCTGTGGCACTCTGCCCCACCCAGTGGCTCTGGAACAGTAACACTGTTATTTTGTATTTGTTGGGTTTTTTGTTTGTTTTTATTTCCTGTGCATTGGTGTTTGCCTGGCCAGCCTGGGCAGTGAGTTCCAGTTAAAAATAGTTCTTCAGCTGGGCGGTGGTGGTGCATGCCTTTAATCCCAGCACTCGGGAGGCAGAGGCAGGCGGATCTCTGTGAGTTCGAGGCCAGCCTGGGCTACCAAGTGAGTCCCAGGAAAGGCGCAAAGCTACTCAGAGAAACCCTGTCTCGAAAAACCAAAAAAAAAAAAAAAAAAAATAGTTCTTCAAAGGGGGCATTTTGGAGTTAGGGGAAAACCTGGTTTAAAAACACACACACGGGCCGGGCGGTGGTGGCGCACGCCTTTAATCCCAGCACTCGGGAGGCAGAGGCAGGCGGATCTCTGTGAGTTCGAGGCCAGCCTGGGCTACCAAGTGAGTTCCAGGAAAGGCGCAAAGCTACACAGAGAAACCCTGTCTCGAAAAACCAAAAAAAAAAAAAAAAAATAAAAAAAAAAAAAAAAATAAAAACACACACACACACACACAAAACAAAAGTTCACACAGAGGGGTAGTGGCCCACAACTTTAATCCCAGCACTAAGTAGGCAGAGGCAGGCTGATCTCTATGAGTTTGAGGCCAGCCTGGTCTACAGAGCAAGTTCCAGGACAGGCTCCAAAGCTACACACAGAAACCCTGTCTTGGGGGGTTGTGGGGGGCGTTCTCCAAGAATCAATGGGATTCAAAATTTAAGAAAAAAAAAAAACGAGAAACTGAAATACACTAGAAATCACCCACAGTAGCCTTTGTTTTGGGTTTGAGATATAAGCCCAGGCTGGTCTTCACTGTGTAGCTATGGATGACCTTGAACTCCTGTTCCTCCTGCTTTGCCCGGCAGTGCTGGGATTACAGGCCTGCGCCCCCCACAGATTCCTTTGAGTTCATAGCCAGGTTGAGTCACATAGTGAGACTTCGTACCAAAAGAAAGACCAGGTGTGATGGTAGGAGCCTTTAAATGCTTTTGAGGCAAAGACGTGGGTATTGCTATGAGTTTGAGGCTAGCCTGGTCTACATAGTTCTGGGAAAACTTAAGAAGAGAGAAGGGGGAAAAAACTAATTCAGCTTGCTGTGGTAGTCCAGGACTTCATTTCAGCATTGTTCTAGACCAGACAGCCACATAGTGAGCCTCCTGGGGAGAGACACTCCTGAGGACTTCTCTTTGTGAGCATCTTTCCTACTCAGCATGGTAAAGCCCCTCTGTAATGTCCAGGATGAGGCAGGATTGGGTTTGAGATTCGTCTGGACGGCAAACCCTATCTCAAAAACCCAAGTATCGCCGGGCGGTGGTGGCGCACGCCTTTAATCCCAGCACTCGGGAGGCAGAGCCAGGCGGATCTCTGTGAGTTCGAGGCCAGCCTGGTCTCCAAAGCGAGTTCCAGGAAAGGCGCAAAGCTACACAGAGAAACCCTGTCTCGAAAAACCAAAAAAAAAAAAAAAAAAAACCCAAGTATCAGCTCATGCTGAGATGAAACTCATGATCCATCTGCCTCCACCTCCCAAGGAATGGAGTTACAGGGATGCCACCACACCTTGAAAATGTATATATTTGTGATTCTGAAAGAGAGGACTAGGTCCCCAGCTCATGTGACCAGGCCTTTCATCAGACATTGGGTTAGTTCTTAAGGTGGCACTTTGGATTCATTGACTTAAATGTCTTCCAAACTCACATTTTAAATCTGAGCAGAATGGAAAATCTAAGACAATTACATAGCTTTGTAAGCCGGAAGGAGAAACAGCAGCTGCCATCACACACTCTCCATCTTCCTTAGACACCCATTCTCAGACGCCTGAAGGCAGGAGTCTGCCCCTCCTTCCTGGGGTTCTTCTGACTCGACCTTGTCCTTTCCTTCCAGACCCAGCGCCACAGCTGGATGTGACTGAGGCCAACAAGGAGTTCATGGAGCAGAGTGAGGAACTGTATGATGCACTGATGGACTGTCACTGGCAGCCCCTGGACACTGTGTCTTCAGAGATCCCTGCCATGTTGTAGCCAGGACATAGGATGGACTTATCTGGGCAGTAGTATTTTTTTTTTTTTTGAAGCTTTTATCTTTTTGAAAATGGTTTGTACGATTTTAATAAATCACTGAGGTTTCCTGAGGTGGTGAGCCACTTCACGTGCTGCTTTTATTTGTCAGTAAACTGTGCAAGGGAAGTGTTCACACAGGAACTTGGAAGTTAGGTCACATGACATTAAAAATCTTGGGAGTCCTAGAGAAGTGACTCCATTGTCAAGTGCACTTACTGTTCTCCCAGGTCAGGTAGCTTTCCCACCCCACCCAAAACTCCAGCTGCAGATGGAGACATTCACCTCCATTGCTATCTGCTGAGGTCCAGCCTCAGCTAGGGTGAGGTACAGTTGGCACAGAGAAAACCTGTTGACCACCAAGAGGGTTACACTCAAGTGTCCCCAAATACCTGAGCAATCTTCATACTCGAGTTTCTCTTACCAGTTACATCTTTTTTTTTTTTTTTTTGGTTTTTCGAGACAGGGTTTCTCTGTGTAGCTTTGCGCCTTTCCTGGTACTCGCTTTGGAGACCAGGCTGGCCTCGAACTCACAGAGATCCGCCTGGCTCTGCCTCCCAAGTGCTGGGATTAAAGGCGTGCGCCGCCGCCGCCGCTGCCGGGCTCATCATTTATTGTTGGCTACTTTTAAGAAATATGTACTTTGGGGGCTGGAGAGGTGGCTCAGTGGTTAAGGGCACTGGCTGCTGTCAGCTTATCCCCCCTTCACCCAGCTGAGGGCCGAATCCAGGGTCTCTTGCTTGCTAGGCAAGAACCCTACCACTGAGGTAAATCTCCAACCCATTTTTTTTTTTTTTTAAGTCCAGTTCCAGGGTGCCTGACACCCTCATGCAGGCGCGACACCAATGCATTCAAGTTTTAAAAAGTTAAAGTGTCTTAAGGAACATACCACCACCTTTAGGTTTCCCAAGTAACACTTGAGGACTGGGAGGCCTTAAGTATTGAGTCAGATACATCCTTCTCTTGCAGCACTTTTATCAGCTGGCAACTACTTGCAATTAAACATGGGTAGAATGGGCCGGGCGGTGGTTGCGCACGCCTTTAATCCCAGCACTCGGGAGGCAGAGCCAGGCGGATCTCTGTGAGTTCGAGGCCAGCCTGGACTACCAAGTGAGTTCCAGGAAAGGCGCAAAGCTACACAGAGAAACCCTGTCTCGAAAAACCAAAAAAAAAAAAAAACCATGGGTAGAATGATTTAAGGACAACAGCAATTTATGTCCACAAGATATGCCTTTATACAGTTCCCTTTTCTGCAGGAGGGTACAGATGTCTCAATCTCTGTAAAATGCAGGCTTTGATAAGGCACTCCTTTTCCATTCTATTTTGACTATAAAGACACACAGCCCAAAGGGACCTGATCCTGGTGTTCAACATTGGATGGTAACAGATGAAAATTTCAGAAAGCAGTAATTTACAATTCATAGGATATCAACTCACAAAAAGTTTGAAGAGATGGGTTAGCAGTTAAGAACACCTCCTAGGAACTCCAACACCAAGGATCAAGTGGCTGTTATTTCAGTAGGCACTAGCATCCCCCTTCAGACACAAGTGAATTTGAGATCGCCATTAAGTTATTTAAATTACAGAGAGAAGACACTTTCCAAAGTCTTTATTGACCCAATTACACGTTAAATCACAAAGCATTTCACTTTAAGACAGGGTTTCTCTGTGTAGCCTTTGATGTCTGTTTTAGAATTAGCTCTGTAGACCAGACTAGCCTTGATCTGTATGTCATCACAGCTTGCAGAACCTTGCTTCCAGAGCTGTCCTCTTGCTTTTGATTTTTTCTGAAAAGGAAGTAAAAAGTCTGTGTTAGTTCTGACCTCAGGCTCAATCTCCACCTCATGCTTTTCCCAAGAACTGGTCTCAGTCCCATATCCGCATTAATCATCCATAGATGTCCACTCAGATTAGGTTTCATCCTGGACCAGTGCCTGAGTTCCCTGCTTGCTCCCTTCCTCACAATCCATCTCCCCAGTTGCCGGGTAGTGGATGGTACAAAGTGCATTGCTGCTGAGCAGAATGTCCTCGTGGCCTTCAGTGTACCAGCATCTGTCCTGGTTGTGAGCAGCTAATACAGCGCACAGACCAGGCATGAATTACCAAGATGCTGAGGTTTTTACAACCTGGAGCCATCTTTTTAATTCTGCTGTACTACTTAGGGACAGGGCTCATTACAGCCCTTAACTTACCCAACCAACTGTAGATCAAATCATAAATGATGGCCCCTTCACTGGTTACATGACTCTAAAAAATAAATACAAGTATTTACGTCAACAATGCTACATACAACTGCCCAGAGGTATCTGTAATTCTCAGATCCAATTTTTTTTTTTTTTTTTTTTTTTGGTTTTTTGAGACAGGGTTTCTCTGTGTAGCTTTGCGCCTCTCCTGGAACTCACTTGGTAGCCCAGGCTGGCCTCGAACTCACAGAGATCCGCCTGGCTCTGCCTCCCAAGTGCTGGGATTAAAGGCGTGCGCCACCACCGCCCGGCCCCAATTTTTTTTTTTTAACCAAGAACCTAGGCATGTATGAATCTGACCCAATGCTCTATACAAGACTACATTGCTATGAGGCCAGTTTCAGTGTGCTCTTCCTCCTTTACGACCACCAAGACCAGCATCAAGATCTGATGGGAAAGGGAACCGGAGGGTCAGGCTGTCTCAGACAGCAACTTTACCTCAGTGAATGAGCTGAGGCAGACAGGCTGGCTTTTCAGACTTCCAAGAGCCTTGGGTGTAACCTGCAGAAGGAAAGCTGTTGTGAATATTCAGGGAATGCAGTGTCGCAGGTAGAAAGCTTCCACCCCAGGCACAACATATATAGGAAAGTCGAGTGGCAGCTGCAGGCACTGTGCTGGCCTGGGCTGTCAAAGTCTCTCCAGTTTCTCTGGCATGCAGTTGGAGACCCCATGGCCACAACCAGCCATAGCCCTTGGAAACATGCTGTATCTACCTACCATCAGGTGATCTCAACACCATACTCACCAGGCCCTACTGCTGCGTTTCACCTGTCACATCTTCTGGTCTCCTTAGCCCATCTTCATGGAGTCTTCACCTGGAAAAGCTAAGATGAACGGCAACACAATTATCCACTTATCTTTAGTTCCTTGCACCTGATCATCAACTGGCCTTCTCTTACAGGGAATGCGGCCCATGACATGGCTTGTACTAACAGGTGAACATACCCGGAACTGCCCTTGTATGATCTAGGGTTCAGCAAACTACTTCCAAAAGCCCTATTCTACCAACTCCACGTTCAAGACATTTTTGTTGGTCTGTATTATTTACACTGATGTTAACGAAGACCTCTAGATACGTCTATAGAATTAAGGCAGAGCTGTCTTTTCCCAAAATGTTGCAGATCAGTTACAGTAAACAGAACCGCGACCGTCAAGGAAAACTGTTTCTCTGGGCCTCCTTTTTGACCACAGCAGCTATGTAGAAGCAGCTGCAGCTTCGATAAGGGCCACAGGCAGTGATGGGGGTTACAAGAGCCCACAAACTTCAAACCCACAAACCACCTGGCTCACAGAAGAACCTAAGTTACAGCTTTGTATACTAGAGACATCGCCAACTAAAATTCATGACCCTACTGCCTGCACCCCTCCCCCTCCCAACACACAAGCTCTCAACTAACTTGCTTTAGTATCAGGGTAAGCTTAAAATGGCAGCTTCTGCAGTCAGAATGCAACAAAGCTGAGTTTCTAAACAAGGTCTTCCCGAAAAAAAAATTCTTAATGGTTTGAGGCCTACGGCTTAGACGGGGATAACCCAGCACGTGCCAGGATCCAAGAGTTCAAGCCCAATACCTCGCATCCACTAGGATAACTCCAGATAACTGGAGCGAGGTTAAGTGGCCAAATGTGACCCAGAGTTAACTGTCACAGGGTTCTTCAGTTGGTGTCATCCCAATTAGGTCATCGCACCCAAACACTTACCCCTTCAGCCTGCAAATGCTGTCGCCAGATCCCCATTGCCCCACCACCAAGCCGATGGCCGGCATCACTCACCCGTCAAATGGCGCAGTACGCAGGCCGCGGACTCTCACTGCGCAAGCGGCCATCGTGGCTCCCTTGTAGGCTTCCACCGTCGATATGGAGAAGCCTGGCTTATTTGCGGCAGGTTCTGCATCCCGAAGCCTTTAGGGAAGCACCCAGAGAGTGCATTCAGAGGGCGGCGATCTGTGGAGGTAATGGGGACGCGGTACATGACAACGAGGATACAATAGACGCACGCGGACGCAGGAAGAAAGGACGGAGCAGGGCCCGCAACCGCTATATATAGTGCTCGCGCCGACGCCCGCGCCTGCGCCCTCCGTCTGCCGCACGGACCCTCTGGGAAATGTAGTCCACGCGCACCGCCTAGTCCTCTCTTGAGCCCGCCCTGATCGAGGACTAGAGAGGCTTCCACCCCTGCCACAGCGAGTTGGATGGACTCACACCCGAGACCGGTCGCGGTCCCTGGGGATTAAGTCTCGGGGCAACTTTGAATTAACACTGATCTTAGAAAGGGTTCTCCGCCCCGAGCGTCTTGGGATGCCGGGGGAGTAACTGGAAGGGGATGCTGAGGGTGTAGTGGGAAAGGGGTATCATCCTAGGATGCAGGAGTGAGTAGAGAGCTTCTTGAGGGAGGCTAAACCCCCACACTTATTTACCCCAGGAACTCTTGAGGAATGAGGGATAAGAGACTTAGAAATAAGGAGAGAGAGAAACAGAAAACACAGGACGGACTCTCGAGTAGGCCTGGATCCTTATCCATCGGCCCAGAGCGTTAGTCCAAAGGACTATTTATAACAATGCCAAGGGGCGGAGCATTAGACACATACACACACCCCACACACACCCCACCCACCCCACCCCGCTAGTTAGACCCTTACAAACACCTGGTACTCAAGCCCGTGGTCCAATCAACCTCCCATGCAGTCCTGCTGGGTACAGCCACTAGGAAACCTAGTGGGCTCCAACAATTGAGGCTCCAGATGGATCCTTTATTTGTTCAAAGCTAATGTTAAATAGCATTTCCTGAGCACCTGCTGTTTATGCTGGGCCAGATTATTCCATCTCATTTTCATACAAACCTTGTGTACTGGCTTCTTGATGATGCCCTTTTCACGGGAAATTGAAAAATGGATCACAGCTAGCAAGCAAGGTAGACAGACTAGACTCTGAAAACAGCTCAGACACTCAAAGTCACGACCATGGGTTGTTGTTTGCTCATGGGATGAATGAATGATGAGCCCCAGCCTAAGAACATAAACAGACTGGGATGTAGCTCAGTGGTGAAGAGCACAAGGTCCTGAGTTGAATCCTTCATACCTCTGAGTGTGACCCAGGTCTGTAATCCCAGGATTAAATGGTTAATATAAGGTTCCTTTTGTTTGGTTGGTTGATTGGGGTTTTTGTTTGTTTGTTTGTTTTTTGTTTTTGTTTTGATAGGGTCTCTCTATCATGATGTAACTCTGCCTGTCCTGGAACTTACTGTGTAGACAAGACTAGCCTCTAACACACAAATATCCACCTGCCTCTGCCTCTCAGAGCTGTGATTGGTGAAGGTAAATTTTGAGGCCACCCAGGGCTACCTGAGTCCCTGTCTAAAAAAAGAAAAAGAAAGAAAAAAAATATAAGTAGTTATTGCCAATAATTAAGTAACTATTCTATGGTATGGTTAATTTGTAAATTTCTGCCCTTCCATTAGCCTTATTTATTTATTTCATTAATTTATTTATTTAATTTTCTTAGAGGGGAAAAAAGTAGTTTATTTAGCTTACAATTCTAGGGTACAGTCACATCACTGCATGGAAGTCCCAGCAGCAGGGGCCTGAGACAGTCGGTCATATCACATCCATAGTATATAGTAGAGAGGTGACTTTTTCTTATTTGGATTTTGTTTGTTTGCTTTGTTTTCGAGACAGGGTTTCTCTGTGTAGTTTTGGTGCCTGTCCTGGATCTCACTCTGTAGACCAGGCTGGCCTCGAACTCACAGAAATCTGCCTGGCTCTGCATCCCAAGTGCTGGATTAAAGGCATGTACTTGTTTTTGTTTTTACACATCTCTTACACATCTCACTAGTTTGCCCAGGCAGATCTCAGGCTCCCAAGTAGCTGAATTACAAGCCTGCAGCCAGGCCCAGCTTTTTCCCCTCATCAATGTTAGGGAGGTTATCATTGGCCTTACCATATATTGCCCCTAAGCTACATCCTTCAGCTCCTATATACACCTGAAGAAATAGGTTTCAGGCTAGAGAGATGCCTCGGAGTTTAGGAGCATTTGCTGGGCAAGCATGAAGACCACAGTGTGGATCCTAGCCTAGCACCCACATGAAGAGCTGTGAGTGGTAGTTTGTGGGGGGTGTTTGTTTGTTTGAGATAGGGTCTCACTATGTAACCCTGGCTGACCTGGTGTGGGAACCCATTCTCGGGTTCCTCGTGGCTTTACCCAGCAGGTCCGCATAGAGGATGATTAGGGCCACGGGCCTGAGTGCAGGTGTCTGAGATGGTCTGCACTTGGCTGTGCTGGGGGAGGAGGTCTTTTGCTCCACCCTTTGGCGTCTCTATAAAACCCTGGGGCAGAGACAGTCGGGGCCAAGTTGGAATAGGTTCCAGGCCCTCTCGAGGCTATCCTTTATTTTCTATCTGTTTATCTCCACGATATTCTTCCGCAATAAATCCTTCTATCTAATATTTCCTGCTGTTCGCACTCAAGAAAACTCTGGGGAACTGTGGGGGTGGTTGGGTAAACGCCCCACAACCTGGGATTCAATATGTAGGCCAAACTGGCCTTGAACTCAGAGATCTGCTTGCCTCTGCCTTCTGAGTACTGGGATTAAAAACATGTACCTTCACACTCTACCTTTGTTTGTTTGTTTTAGGTTTTTTTTTGTTTTTGGTGGGGTTTGGTTTTGTTTTTTTCCGAGACAGGGTTTCTCTGTGTAGCTTTGTGCCTTTCCTGGAACTTGCATTGTAGACCAGGCTGGCCTCGAACTCACAGAGATCTGCCTGCCTCTGCCTCCCAAGTGCTGTTATTAAAGGTGTGTGCCGCTGCCACCACCACCACCACCACCACCCGGCTTCTACCTCGTTTTTTAAGACAGGTTCTCTCATTGGCTTGGAGTTTGCCAAGTAGAGTAGGAGACTGCCCCAGATATGTTCCTGCCGCCTCCTCCCAGTGCTAGGATTACAAGTTCTGGGGATGGAATTCAGGTCCTCAGGTTTAGGTGCCAAGCACTTTATCAGCTGAGCTATTGCTCCAGCTCATATACGTACATGTTTGTCTGCCTTCCTCATTAGAATGGGAGCTCTCCAAGAGCAGGAACTTTGCCTCTGCCCTCCCCAAGCTGTACGTGTGCTGGAGTGTAGAAGATAGGATGGGGTTGGAGAGATGGCTCAGAAGTGGAGAGCACTTGTCCCGAGATCAGTTCCCAGCAACCACATATAATGAGATCTGGTGCCTTCTTCTGGCGTGCAGGCATACATGCAGACAGAACATTGTATATATAATAAAGAAAAAAAAATAGGTAGGATGGGCCAGTAAGAGCTCAGCAGTAAAGCAAATAAATTAAAATATATTAAAGGATAGCCAGCAAGCACTTCCTGGAATAATCACCCAGGGATGAAACTTGGCTATGATTGCATAACCAGTGGTAAGTGGCCCTTGAACCACAACCCAAATCTCCCCATGGAAATGTGCAGAACCTTAGCTGCTGTGGTAGACAGTTCTGTATGAGGCGCCTCATGGGAATTTGCCTTAGCAGATGAGGAAGCAGGGCACAGGAAGGGGTGGCCTCTGGGGCTACGCAGCCTTATCTATGGCATGGGTCAGCTGACATGTGGATTCTGGTGCCAGGTGCAATCAGAGGCAGTCACTGACCCCAGCCCTAGCGGGAGCCTCTGAGAGAGGAAGTTCAAAGAATCCGATGCTGACACTGCACAGCCTGTCTTTGGGGAGGGCTCCAGTCCAGCTGTTTCATGCCTCTCTGCTCTTGCCCAGCTGCACTGGCTAGGATTATTTAGAGGTGTGATATAGATGGCTTTTTTATTTCTTTTTTTTTGGATTCAGTGAGAAGAGTTACGGGGTAATGGCACTTGCTGAGTTCAATCCCCGGGTGCCTACAAGGTAGAAGAAGGGAACCAACTCCTTCCAATAGTCCTCTGACCTCCATATGTGCCCTGGCGCATGTGCACCCACATACACACAAACAAGTAAACATTAAAAAAAAAAAAAAAAAAAGGAAAAGAGCCAGGCGGATCTCTGTGAGTTCGAGTCCAGCCTGGTCTACAAAGCGAGTTCCAGGGCAGCCAGAGCTACACACAGAGAAACCTTGTCTCGGGAAAAAAAGAAAAAAAGGTGTAAGTCACTTTATCCTCCGAAGCAGGGGTTGTCACTGTCCCCATTTTACAGAGGTAGTGATTTCCACCCTGACTTACACCAAGGATTGGTCTGGAGGAGGAGGAGGAGGAGGAGGAGGAGGAGGAGGAGGGAGGAGGAGGAGGAGGAGGAGGAGGAGGAGGAGGAGGAGGAGGAGGAGGAGGGGGGGGGGGGGGGGAGGAGGAGGAGGAGGAGGAGGAGGAGGAGGAGGAGGAGGAGGAGGAGGAGGAGGAGGAGGAGGAGGAGGAGGAGGAGGAGGAGGAGGAGGAGGAGGAGGAGGAGGAGGAGGGCCCCACAGGATGGGCGGGGCCGCACAGAAACGGTCCGAGATCGGCCGGCCGGGAGCCCAGATCCCATGGAGGCGGCGGCGGCGGCGGACTGCAGCTACCAGTTCCGAATCGCTCTGCTCGGGGACGCGGCGGTGGGCAAGACGTCACTGTTGCGGTGCTACGTGGCGGGCGCTGCTCGCGGGCCGGCGGCGGAGCCCGAGCCCGAGCCCGAGCCCACTGTGGGCGTGGAGTTCTACAGCCGCGCTCTGCAGTTGCCCGCTGGGCTGCGGGTCAAGCTGCAGCTCTGGGACACCGCGGGTCACGAGCGCTTCAGGTGCGGCGGGAAAGGGGGGATCAATGCCAGACACCTGGGGGGACCCACGCCCGCAGGTGCCAACTGCAGGGGCTCAAGCAGGGATCCGTGGTCCCTACCCTACCAACCCCTTCCTACTCAGTCATTCATCCTACAAAGCCACACAACCCCAGCATGTGCTGTCTCTGAGCCACATCCCCCCCACCCCCGCACCCCACCCCACCCCCCCCCCGCACCCCACCCCACCCCCCCGCACCCCACCCCACCCCCGACGACCCAAAGCCCTTAACCAGCCCTAAAGGAAATGTCAAAATAGGGGGATTTGCACTGAGACATTGAACTACTTCCCAGAGAGATGAATGACCTGGGTGCAAAGACCGCTCAAGAGGATGGGAAGAAAGCAAGACTGGTGTGGAGCCACGGGTAGGAGCTGCCAGCCAGGGAATCAGACACAGAATGGGTAGGAAGAGGGGACTGTCCCCTTTCCCCCACACCTCCTGTAATCTTCGCAATTAGGAGGTGTGAAGGCAGGAGAGCAGGGATTTGAGGCCAGCATGGGCCACGTGAGACGCTGAGTTGAATGTAGTGTGCTGGAATGGAGTAGGAAGCCTGTGGATCTTGGGGCCCTCTGAGGCTGTCTAAAGGCGTTGAGACTCCCCTGATTTACACTGTCGTCCCCCGCCCCCACCAGGTGCATCACCAGATCCTTCTACCGGAACATGGTGGGCGTTCTGTTGGTCTTTGATGTGACAAACAGAGAGTCCTTTGAACACATCCAAGCCTGGCACCAGGAGGTCCTATCCTCTCAGTGCCCTGGCAAAGTGATCTTCTTACTGATTGGCCACAAGTGCGACCTGAGCACCCGATGCGTCTCCACCCAGGAGGCAGAGGAGCTGGCTGCTTCCATGGGCATGGCCTTCGTGGAGACCTCAGCCAAAAGTAACTGCAATGTGGACCTGGCCTTTGACACTGTCACCACTGCCATCGAGCAGGCCCTGCGGCAGGGGGACATCAAGCTGGAAGAGGACTGGGCAGGTATCCGGCTCCTCCACAGAGCCCCAAACCCCAGACGCCCCAGCAGAAAGCAGGACTCATGCCAGTGTTGACTCTGGGAGAGGGAGGGTTAAATGGTGCCAGCCTCAGACTCCCCAGTGAGACCAGAGGACAAAAAGACTGTCTCCTGACATGTTCCTGCCTTCTAATTCTTGGCATTTTTTCTTTGTCGGGATTGAACACAAGGCTTGGCTATCTACAGACACCCTCAGCCCTTTTATCTTTCATATTTTCAGAATGGATCTTGCTGAGTTGTCCAGGCTAGTCTTGAAGCTCAGCCTCTTGAGTGATTGAGATTACAGAAGTGTTCCACTAGGTCAGGACCTCTGCTAGGTTTCTAGTTCTCAGCACAACCCCTTTTTAGAGAAAAATCTAAGAGCAGGTTTGCAACTCAATGCCATCTAGCCTAAGTTTCCCTCTCCATGAGATTCATACAAATGCCTGAATCCCCAAACTTGGAAGGCAGAGGCAGGATCAGGAGTTCAATGACAGTCTCAGCTTTGGAGAGTTCAAGGTCAGCCTGGGCGACATGAGACTATTGCAAAAACCAAGAATAAAAACATTTTAAATAAATTCTTTTTGGGGGGTTGGGGATTTAGCTCAGTGGTAGAGCCCTTGCCTAGCAAGTGCAAGGCCCTGGGTTTGGTCCTCAGCTGGGGGGGGGGCGGGGGGTGGGGGGGGATACATAAGGGACAGGCTTGCTCACTCGGAGCCTGCCTCACTGACAGCTGATATTATGCTTCTTGGTTCTTGGCTTCAAGTGGTCATTTCTGGCAGCATTCCTGGGCTGGAAGACAGCTGCCCAGCATGTGTCCACTGCTTTGCTGGTGAGGTAGCCTGGGGAATTCCAGTACAAGCTTGGTTTAGCGCTTCCCCAGCCCTGAGAGTAGCATGAGTCTGGTCTGAGCACATGCTGCTTCTCGTGGTTCCCACCCCAAGCTCATTGACTAGAGTTAAATTTTGGAGTTGACCATGAATGAGCTACAGATTTGTTGGACACATGGTAGACAATGAGGAGAGCCACTAGGATCTCGGATGATGGACTTTGGCCTACTACACTGCCTGGAACCTGGCCATCCTCAGGGCCACCCATACCCAACATCTCGTCTGTGAGGATGATGTTAAAGAACTTGCCTTCTTCAAGGCATAGAAGCCCGTGGCTTTAATCTGAGCACTGAGGAGGCAAAAGTAAGTGGATCTCTATGAGTTCAAGGCCAGCCAGGTGTTGGTGGCGCACACCTTTAATCCCAGCACTCGGGAGGCAAAGGCAGGCGGATCTCTATGAATTCGAGGCCAGCCTGGGCTACAGAGCGAGATCCAGGACAGGCTTCAAAGCTACACAGAGAAACCCTGTCTCAAAATCACCAAAAAAAAAAAAAAAAAGAGTTTAAGGCCAGTCTGATCTACATAGTATGTTCCAGGCCAGCCTGAGCTGAGCTACACAGTGAGACACCATCAAAACAAAACAAACAGCAATACAAAGGTGGCAGGGCAGGGGCTGGAGAGATGGCTTAGGAGTTCAGAGCATTTGTTACCGTTGGAGAGTAATAGTTCAACTCTCAGCACCTACCCGGTGGGTCAACCATCCACAACTCTAGTTCCAGGGGATCTGAGACCTTTGTCTAGCCTCCCAGGACACCAGGTATGTACACGGTACACTACACACATGCTAGCAACACATTCCTACAGAGGGCTGGAGAGACTGCTCAGGGCTGAGAGCACCTGCTGCTCTTCCAGTGGACCAGAGTCAATTCTCACCACCCACATGGCAGCTCACAACAGTCTAACTCCAGTCCCAGGGGATCCAATGCCCTCTTCTGGCCTCTGGAGGCACCAAGCAGGTAGTGGTGCAGACATACATGCAGGCAAAACACCCGTACATACACCTTTTTTTTTTTTTTTGAGACAGGGTTTCTCTGTGTAGCCCTGGCTGACCTGGAACTCACTCTGTGGACCAGGCTGGCCTCAAACTCAAAGATCCACCTGCCTCTGTCTCCCAAGTGCTGAGATTAAAGGCATGTGCCACCATTACCTTACATATACAAATAAATTAAATTTTTTATACTTTTTTTCTTGTTCCTTTGTGTGACCTAGAACTAGCTCTGTAGGCCAGGCCGGTCTCGAACTCACAGAGATAGGCTGCCTGCCTCTGCCTCCCGACTGCTGGGATTAAAGGAGTGAGCCACCACTGCCCATCAATAAATGAATTTTTTAAAAAAGGAGTGAACTACCACACTTTTTTATTTGTATTATTTAAAAAAACACACATAAAATTAAATAAACCTAAGTTTAAAAAAAACCAAACCTTTATAAAACTAGGCACAGTGGCACATACCTTCATACATGCATATCAAAGCACACAGGCAGAGACTGGAAGATCAAAAGTTCAAGGTCATCCTCAGCTACATATCGAGTTTGAAAATTTGAGGCCTAACCAAGCATGATAGCGCAATGCCTTTAATCCCAGTACTCAGGAGGCAGAGGCAGGTGGATCTCTGTGAGTTTGAGGCCAGCCTGGTCTACAGAGCGAGTTACAGGACAGCCAGGGCCTCACAGAGAAACCCTGTCTCGGAAAAAAAAAAAAGAAAGTTTAGGCCAGACTAGAATACTGAAAACCAAGCAAATGAAGAAACAACCTCATTCTCTTACCTCAGCTCTGGACAAGTGTGAAGATCAAACCCAGCTTTCTCACTCTGTGGCTTCATGGAAGACATTATTGTGATGAGGGCCAGGTTCTTCCTCCGCCTGGCCCTACTTCCTTCTGCTTTGTCCCTAGAGATGGAGACTGGCCCCAGACAAACATCTGCATGATCCTCTCCAGCTGAGGCTGTTGCATTAGACTCTGACATGCAAGGGAACCTGCAGGCCTGACCGGCCAAGGGTGACTGTGGAGGCTTCCTAGCAGAGATGGTACTGATGTTGAGTGTTGGTCGGAACTCCAGGGGCATCTTCAGGGATGTAACTGTGGCAGCAGGCATGAGCAGGGTGTAAGCACTTAGGGCTAGTGACCCCCTTCTCTTTTTTTGTTTTGTTTTTGTCTGCCGGTTTTGGATTTATTTGGTTGTTTTCTTTTGGTTTTAGTTTGTTTTAGGCAAGATTGGTGGCTAGCCTAGAAAGTGCTGTGTAACCAGATTAGTCCCTAACTCACCATGATTTTCTTTCATCTGCCTCTGGAGTGCAGCAATTAATGTGACACTCACTGTGTAGCCCAGGTTGGCCTTAGCTTGTGCCACCTTGATCAAGCGGCCTAACATTCTCGATTACTTCTCAGAATGTATCAGAATGTGAGCCTATCAGCTCTCCAGCTCCCACCAGCCCCAAGACTGAAAATGCTATAAGGTAACATCTGAGCCTAGGCTGATGCCTCTGATCCCAGCAGAGGAACTACTGCCAGTTTGAGACCACAGTTCCCAGGCCAGCCAGGGTTAGGTAGCAAAATTTTTTTTTTTTTTTTTTTTTTTTGGTTTTTCGAGACAGGGTTTCTCTGTGTAGCTTTGCGCCTTTCCTGGAACTCACTTGGTAGTCCAGGCTGGCCTCGAACTCATAGAGATCCGCCTGGCTCTGCCTCCCAGTGCTGGGATCAAAGGCGTGCGCCACCACCGCCCGGCTGCAAAATTTTCTTAAAAAACAAAACATAGCCGGGCGGTGGTGGCGCACGCCTTTAATCCCAGCACTGGGAGGCAGAGGCAGGCGGATCTCTGTGAGGTTGAGGCCATCCTGGGCTACAGAGCGAGATCCAGGAAAGGCACAAAGCTACACAGAGAAACCCTGTCTCGAAAAACCAAAAAAAAAAAACAAAAAAAAAACACAAAACAACAACAACAACAACAACAAAACCATAAAGGCTGGGCATGGTGGCACAAGCCCTTAATCCCAGCAGTTGGGAGGCAGAGGAAGGCAGATGTCTAAGTTGGAGGCCAGCCTGGTCTACAGAGCAAGTTCCAGGAAAGCTAAGGCTACAGGGAGAGACCCTGTCTTGAAAAACCAAACAAACACCACTAAACACAAAACATACAAAGTATCTGAACCCTGTAGGAATTTCTCCAATTGGCTGCAGCCTATCCAATGCCCTCATGTTTGTCATTGGTAAATGGGTTTACCATTTCTTTTGTTCTGTGATTATAGACATTCATAAAGTCTTAGGCAATGTTTGTTTGCTTGTTTTTGAGACAGTTTCATGTAGCATAGACTGGCCTCTGACTGTGTAACCAAGCAGGGTGACCTGGAACTCCTGATCCTCCTGCCTCCACCTCCCAAAGTGCTAGGATGACGGGCACGCACCACCATGCCTGGTTACCTCTTCCACAATGGGACAGGTCATTCAGGGTAACCTGAATCAGTTGTTCCTTGTCATAGTCAGATTGGCTCAGAGTAGGTAACACACAGAAGCTGAGACAGAAAGCTCATGAGTTCCAGGCCAACCTCAGCTACATAGTGAGAAAGATCTCAAAACAAACAAATTTCTAGTTAGGGTTGGGAGACGAAGAAGTCTGGAAATCCCCTGCCACCCAGGCCTGGCCCACTCAGAAAAAAAGATGATGCATTGTGCCCAGTGTCTCCCCTCTGTGTCCAGCGGGCTAGAATCACACATCTGTCCCTCAGCCCGGCTTCCAGCTGCAAAACGGGAATACCAACAGTTTTGGTCTCACAGGGCTGTTTTGAAACTGACATGGTATGTGACCTCTTCCCACAGTGTGGCCTCACACCCATGGACCTTCTATGGCTAGGAACTTAGCCATAACAACACAGCAACCTCTCCAAGTCCAGAAGTCCTGACTATTGTATAGACAAAAGACTCCTCTATCATGGCCAGTCATGGCTGAACTGGTGAACGCAGGCCAGTTCCACAGTTCAGTTCCACAGTCTGGCTACAGAGCCAGACCCGAGGTGTGTGCTACCTCATACATCAAGGCTCTGCCCCCCCCCCCCCCCCAGCTGCAGTGATGTGAGGTGATCTTAGAGACTCCCAGTGGCCCCAGAGGGTGTGTGCCTGCACTGGAAGATGTAGCCCTGAAAACTGCAGCTCCCTCTCTCCACCACGTGGACTGTGCCCTCCTCTAGAGGGCTTCAGGGTGCCTAGGTCTTCCCTGGGATGCTATATTCACATCCCCCAAAAGTCTTTTTCTTTGGCTTCCCCTGGTCCTTGTGCACATGCTCCACCTCCAGACCTAGGGGGTGGTCTTATTCTCCATGACTTCCTCCCACCATCTTCCTATTTCTCTCCTTTGTCCTTATTTTCTTTCTCCTGCTCCTCCTTGGACAAGATTTCACGTATCAGAGGCTGGTTTTAAGGTTAAAAGTCCTGGTAAAGGTGACCTTGAACTCCCAATGCTTCCACCACGAGCTCCCAACTGCTGGGATCACAGGCATGTACCACTCTACCTAGTCTATGTAGTACAGGAGGGATCAAACCCAAGACCTGAGGTATGCTAGGCAAACACTCTACCAACTGAGCTACATTCCCAGTCGTTATTTTTTGAGACAAGAGCTCACTAAGTACTCCTGGAACAGAACTCAAGGAGAACAGAACTGCCTCTGTCTCCTGAGTGCTGAACTTAGAGACACATATCTGGCTATGGGGGCCTCGTCTTTCCTAACTCCACTAAGACCTTATTTCAGTTCTTCCCTCCTTTTCCTGGCCCACCCCACACAGGCACAGGGAGCCTCTTCATGATGGCTTCCTAGTCCTAGGTGGTTCTGTCTTCAGTACTTATCCTGTTGTTACAGCCAGCTATACACACACACACACACACACACACACACACACTGCTTTTTAGTGAATTCTTCCTCTGAAGACTGCTTCAAGGATTTCTCCTTTATCTTTAGTCCATCACAGCCATTCCTTTTCTGTCTGTTTCCAACTCCAGTCTACACCCCAGAACCCCAGGCAATGCTTTCCAGGCATACCAGCCTTCACCTAAAACTTCACTGGCTTCTGGCTGTCTGGGCAGTGGGTCACAGACTCCTGCTTAACATGTAAATCTTTTTTTGTTTTGTTCTTTTTTGTGTTTTTGAGAAAGTGTCTCTCTATATAGCACTGGATATTCTGGAACTCACTATGTAGACCAGGCTGGCCTTGAACTCACAGAGATCCACTGGCCTCTGCCTCCTGAATGCTGGGATTAAAGGCATGTACCATTACACCTAATCAACATGACAGTCTTTTAAAAAATTATTATTTCATTTGAGGACAGGGTTTCTCTATGTAACAGCCCTAGCTGACCTGGAACTCACTCTGTAGACCAGGCTAGCCTCAAACTCACAGGAACCACCTATCCCTACCTTACCTCCCCAGTGGTGGGATTAAAGGCATGCACCAACATACCTGCTTTTTTATTTATTTGTTTATTTTTGAGACAGGGTCTCATTGTGTAGCCTTGAGCTTGCTATGTAGACCAGGCTGTTCTTTTTGTTTGTTTGTTTGTTTGTTTTTCAAGACAGGGTTTCTTTGTGTGTAGCCATCACTGTCTGGGAACTCACTCTGTAGACCAGGCTGGCCTTGAACTCACAAATATCCCCCTGCCTCTGCCTCCTCTGCCTCCTGAGCACTGGGATTAAATGCATACGCACCGTGCCTTCATTTATTTATGTGTGTGAATGTCTGCTTGTATGTCTGTCTGTGTACCATGCGCATGTAGTACCAAGGAGGCCAGGAGAAGGTATCAGACTGGAGTTACAGAGTTGTGAGCTGCCATGTGGGAGCTGGGAATCAAGCCAGGGCCTTCTAGCCATCTTTCCAGTCCCTGTAGACCAATCTTGAATAACAGAATCTCTTAGGTTTATTTTTTGGGTGTGTGTGGGAGGGGCAAGTTTTACCCAGCAACTCAACCAAACAAGCAGGCATGGTGACGTGTATCTGTAATTTCAGCTGCTCAGTAGACTGAGGCAGGAAGATCTTGAGTTTGAGGCTAGTTTGGGCTCCAGAGGGAGACTCTTTCTCAAAGACCAGTGTTTGGGGTGTGTCTCAGTGGCCCAGCACTCATTTAACGTGAACAAAGACTCAGAGTTTAATTCATAACACTGCAAATAAACAAGTAAATAAATAATCAACTAAAATAGAGCAACAAAAATCTAACAAGAAATGTCACACAAAATAGCCTCGATCAAACTCCTCATCCTGGTTCATCTACAAATAATTTGCCACTAGCAGCCATGAACAAAGCCAGTTCCACAGAAGAGTCTTCAATATAGGTGATTCTTCATCGAATATTTTTGGCAAGATATTCTAAATGCCTTTTAAAATTTATTTATTTAGGCCAAGCATCTTGGTGCATGTCTTAAATCCCAGCACTTGGGAGGAAGGAGCTGATAGGATCTCTTCAAATTCAAGGGTAGCCTGGTCTACATAGTGAGTTCCAGGACAGCCAGGGCTGCATAGTGAGACCCTGTTTCAATCAAATAAAAGCAAAATTATTTATTTGGGGCTGGACAGACAACAAGCTCTTCCAGAGGACCTAAATTCAATTCCCAGCACCCACACAGCAGCTCACAGTCATCTCTAACTCTAGTTCCAGGGGATCTGATGGCCTCTTCTGTCCTCCATGGACACGGCATACACATGGTGCACGGACATTCAGGCAAAGACCCACACATGTATATTATGTATAGAAAATAAATATTTCTATTACTGTTTGCCTGTTTCTCTCCCTCCATCTTTACAGCTCTATGGATTGAACTTAGGTGGACAGGCTTGCATGGCAAACACTAGTCACTGAGCCATCCGGTCAGGCCTCAAATACCTTTTGAGAAACACCTTGTTCCTTTGGATGGCTCCACCTGCTCCACCGAGACGCCCAGCTTCTGGTTCCCGTTAGACCTTTCGGGGGAATGCTTGACACTGACATTCCATAACCTTCTTCTAGAGAGCCAAGGGTGCGTTGCCCCACTTCCCGTCGGTTGCATTATTTTTCCTGATGTCTATTCACCGAGAACAGAAACAGTTTCACCAGGTCTATCTTGGTGAACCAGTGAGTTTATTGGGCTTACTTAGAGGAGCGTGGGTGACCCCCAAACAGCTGTATCACTGAAAAGTCCCACCCCAACATGGTGACAATCTCTCCAAAGCAACAGGGATGGCGTTCCCCTTCAGCTGGCCTTCCACACTCTGTATTCTCCCCCAAAACCACATGTAGCTGGGGCGGAATTACATGCAGCTTGCTGGGAGACAGGTTAGAACCCTAGCTGAAGGTCCACTGACTCTCCTCAGTCCTTCCCTCTATGAGGGAACATTAACAGACAGGATCTTATGAGCGGCACTTGTAGACAGTCACAGCTGCTCTGAGGACGCTGGTGACAGCCTGCAAGGCTGATAGTGCACACCTGTAACCCCAGCCCTTGGGAGAGGGAGGCAGCTGGATCTTTAGCCATATACCAAATTCAGTTAGCAACCTGGGCTATAGGAGAGCCTGTCTCAAAAGGTACTAGGTACGCTACTTATCACCCAGCCTGCTGCCCTGGCAGTGTAGACAGTGTAGACAATAAACCTGTTTTATCTTTGTTTTTTTTGTCAAGATAACACCTAAACAATCAAGCTGGCAACCAGGGCTGGAGAGAGAGCTCAGTGCTCGTCGAGAAGGCAGGAGGACCTGAGCTGGACGCCCAGAGCCTGTATCAATGCTGGATGTGGTGGTACACCCTTGTAATCCCAGCGCTGGGGAGGGACAGACAGGAGACTCCCTGGGGCTCACTGGCCAGCTGCTCTACCCTAATTGGCGAGTTCAAGTCCATGGAGAGACCCAGTCTTACAGTGGGGCGATGACACACCCGAGGTTTTTCTTTGGCCTCCACAGACACACAAACATGCATGTATACACAGGTGGTATCAACCATGCCGTACTTAGAAGACAATGCTCCACAATGCTCCCTCCATGCCTTGTTCACACTGCAACAGTACCAGGGAGGCAGAACGGGCCATATCGTCTTGTCTACTGCAGTCTTTCAAGCGAATGTGGTAGAAGTCAAGAGCAGCCTGCTCCACACTGAAGCAAGGACTCCAGATGCCTGGGAGAGCAGGATGAAGCCACACACTGAGTCTGAGGGCTGCCCACTCCATGCCCCCTTTCTTCCATCTGTACGTACTCTCTGACCTTGTACCTTGTGTGGTTCCCATCTTGACGCAGTCTTTTTATTTTTTAATTCCTGGGATGGAAACCAGGACCTTGCTATATTAAGCGTGGGCTCTACCACTGAACTACATCCCTAGCTCCAGGTACACTGCCTTCTGGAGAGCACTGGGCCTTTGCACATTCCATTACTGTATAAAATGCTTCAATGGCTATTACTTCTGGACAAAGACCACTCTCGGGAACCTGAGACTCTCTCCCTCCTCCAGCTGTGACCCTAGCCTTTCTCGAATTTGCCGCCTCCTCTGATAGCGGCACACCGGGCTTGTTTTAATTCATTATCGTGGCTCTTGCCTAGTGGAGGCACAGCTTATAGAGACAGAACAGCCCTTCAACGTGCTGACAGGACAGTAACACCGAGACAGAAGAAGCCACCTACCTGTCACACAGCTGATCAAGAACTGACATCTTGTGAGTACCTCACTTCTGTCCATTGTACTTCCCCAATCCCCTTGTCCCTTTCTGTCAAGAGTCATTCCAGATTCCTTCTTGGCTGCCGGAGTCAGTGACTAGCTCCTATTAGGACAGCGTGGGAGCTTTCTGCTGATTGATGTCACTGACAGAGCATCCTCTGAGAGCATCTCTGGGGGCAGCAGGCTCTGGAGAAAGGAAATACCCTCCAAGATCCTCCTCCTGGTGCCAGGCCACAGGGTGAGCTCGGTGTCAGGTGTGACCAGTGAAGAAGCTGGCTGTCCTCTTGCAGACTTTCCAGGCCGACACCTCAGCCGAGACCAACAGCAACACCAGCATGGCCTTCGAGCTGCTCACCCAAGCGATCTACAAACTCCGTCCCATCGTGGACCAAGCCTCAGGAGGAGAGGTTCAAAGCAGGGACCAAAGGCTGATGCGCCTGTGCTGTGGCCCCTGGGCAGAAGGAAGGGCGGAAGGAAGGGCGGCCATCCTCCCCGGAGCCATGGACCCTTCACAATCCACAAGGACTGTGCTGGGCACGGGTCAGGACGATGCCGTGGAGGAACACTCTGTGGTCTAGATAGGCCTGCTTTCCTGTGAGGACAGAATCCCAGCAACAAGACTTTCCCCAAAGCTACTCACATCCTTCCTCAGTGCCAAGGATGAATATGATCTTTCATGAAGTTCCAGAAGAGGTCCCAAAGGGCTCTAGAAAGCCAGGTGTGATGATGCACACCTGTAATCTCAGCACACTGAGGGGTGGAGGCTGGAGGGCGAGTTCAAGGATAGCCTCAGCAATACATCAAATTTGAAACCAGCCTGGGCTACACAATAGCCTGCCTCAAAACACCAAAAAAAAAAAAAGAAGTCCCAGGGACACTGACATTATCAGAACTAGGATGCTTGTTTATTTTGGGGCTAGTTCACCCTGTCCTGTGGCAGAGAAACTGAACTCCAGCTCCGACTGCTGGTTCGTTCCTTTGGAGTAAAACTGAAAAACCTGTTTAACTGTAGGGATGGTGCCTGTGCTGCCACCTGCTGACGGCAGCGCTCCGGCCTTGCTGGTCCTCCCTGGCATTTCAAAGGCTCTCAGCTAGGCACCTGTGTCTCCAATTAATAAGTTCTTTATTCTGGAAAAACAAATCAAGTTCATATTCATAGAAACACTGACATTACAAAGTACGGGGACAGGGGAGGAGGCGACAGACCCTCTACAAACCTGCTAACACTGTCTCACCAACATGACCACACCACTCTGCCTACAGTCAGTCGTTTATAAGATAAACCACAGGGAAAGTCTCCTCCTTTGAGATGGCAGGGAAAGGGACCAGAAGTTGGGGTAGGAGGCTTTATTCTTTTGGCAGATCTTCTCAGTCATTATAGATATTGCTGCACTGTTAATAAAAAATATATGCTTCTCTGTAAAGCATTTAAAAAAAAAATCCAAGGATGAGATGGCTGAGGTCTCAGCTCAAGTATCTCCAAGTACATGTCGTCCATTCCCTGACTGTCCTGTGTTATTTCTTGGTTGTTTTCCGGATCAATGCCATTCTCTGAAAGCGGAGAGAAATAACAATTAACAGGCTCTGAGTCAAGAGATTTCTGGAATATCCATACACTGCTCGCAAGTAGCATGGTCTGCATCACAGGAGCAGCATGCAGGGCCCAGACAGTCACAGAGGCCACTGGGCCCATTTCACAGACTGAGAGACCGCACTGGCCAGCTGCACTTGCCATATTCACATGAAGCTCCCTTTCCCTGGAATAAGGCGAATTCTGTAGACCAGGCTGGCTTGGAACTCAGAGATCTGTCTGACTCCATAGGGCTGAGATTACAGCCATGCACAACCATAAAAATCAGGGCACCCAGTTAGATTACAACAGAGAGGATGCCAAGCTTGTCAAGATGAGGCCAGTGACCCGGTTGAACTAAAGACAAGGGATCCCTGGTTCTCTATCGGAAATTATGTCAAGAAGGGCAGAGGACAGATGCTAACACGGGACACAACCCAGAATATCGGGCAGAAGAGCCTGGGTACCTCTCAGCACAAACCTGGCATACTTTTTTCTCTGACCTGGTGGTGTATGGTATTCAAACTGGCTTTCACTAAGGTGTGGGAGCAGGTGGGCATGCCCATAGAAGCCCTGGAAACCTGTCAGGGCTGAGAGGAAAACTGAAAGCCCCCATGTAGCAGCCCAGCACCAGGGGAGCTGTCACTGTGCTGCCTCTGACCTCTGGTGCAGGGAAGCCGACTGTACAGGGACTGAGACTCCTGGACCACAGCTGTGTGTCCCCCCTCCCTGGTGTCCTGGGTTTCTCACCTGTTTGTGAGCTTCTGTGGTGCAAGCTTTCTTGTAGGGTCGAATTTCCTCAGAGCCAAATCCTGGGATCCACATGTTCCACTGGCGCTCTGCAAGGAATACAGGAGCAGAGCTGAGGCTGCAGCTAGAAGGCAGTGCGGCTGCAGGCAAGTGGCAGAGGCAACCCTGGGCACCCACTGGACAGCATATAGCTTCTGCAAGGTTTCCTTACTGGGCTTAGTGCACACTGGGCAAACACTCTACCACTGAGCTATATCCCCCAAGTCCATGAACCCTTTCAATGTTAAATTTCTAAAATTTTATTTATTAAGATTTATTTATTTTATGTGCATAAGTGTTTTGCCTGCATGTATGTATGTGTACCACGTGCAAGCTTGTATACAAGGAGGCCAGAAGGGGGTGCTGGAGTTGAAGATGGTTAGGAGCCACCATGTAGGCTCTGGGAGCCAACTGGAGTCCTCAGGAACAGTGTCTAGTGCTCTTAACCACCAAGCCATCTCTCTAGCATCTGTTTTTATTTTTTTTTATTTTTTAAGGCAAAGTTTGATATGCACCCTAGACCAGAACTGAACTCACAGTGATCTGCCTGTGCTAGCCTCTTTTTTGGGGGGGGAGGCATTCATTTTTTTTTTTTTTTGGTGGGGGGCGTTCAAGACAGGGTTTATCTATGTAGCCCTGGCTGTCCTGGAATTCTGTAGCCAGGCTGGCGTGGAACTCAGAGATCTGCCTGCCTCTGCCTCCTGGGTGCTGGGACTAAAGGCATGCACCACCACAGCCCGGCCCTGTGCTAGCCTTTAAGTGCTGGAATTATGGGCCCAAGACACCACACTGCTACTGGCTATCTTACTCCTTATGTTTTTAAATTTTTTATTACATTTTTATCGATTTTATTTTTAGTCAGGCATGGTTACACATGATTTTAGTCCCAGCACTAGGGAAGCAGAGGCAGGTGGATCTCTGTGAGCTCCAGGACAGCCAGGGCTACAAGGTAAGAACCTTCCTAAAAAAGAAAAAAGGGTGCACTCACACACACACACACACACACACACACACACACACACATACACACACACACATAGAGTCACATTCAGAAGGATTTACACAGATACTATTATTCTTTTATGAATTTTACCCTATCTTCATATTTAGCAAACATGAGATTACTTTAAAATAAAAAAAATAGTCATTAAGTACAGTATGACAGGCGTAAATAACCATCTGGTTCCTAGTTTATCCCTAGCTGTATACACATGGCTCTTTATACTCCATTACTGTCCCCATAGCACAGAAAACAGGATTTATTTCATAAAATTTATCTTACTCTGAACAGACCAACTACTTAAAACAAACTGAAGTTGTATGTGTTACATATGTATGTATGTATGTATGTGTGTGCACAAGTGTACACGCCCCTGTGTATCTGGGGGCCAGAGGACATCTGGTGTCCTCCTTTATAACTCTTCACCTTCTTCCGAGACCGTATGTCACTGAACCTGAGACACACTCTTTTCTAGCAAGGCTGGTAGTCAGCAAGCCCCAGCCATCCTCCTGTCTGTCTGACTCCATAGGGCTGAGATTACAGGCATTATGTGGGTGTTGGGAACCCAAATCAGATCAATTATTCATCCATAGCAAGTGCTCCTAACTACTGAGCCATCTCCTTGGGCCCCAAACAAAAATTTAGTGATTTTATCATTTTACACACACACACACACAGTCCTGGATCTCACTCTGTAGACCAGACTGGCCTTGAACTCACAGAGATCTGCCTGGCTCTGCCTCTGAGTGCTGGAATTACAGGCATGCACCACCACCGCCTGGCATCATTATATGTTACATTTAATGCATACAAATATTATGTGACTAACTCATGTTTAGTTGTAGAATGTGCAATTTTTTTCCAGTTTATGAACATAATATGTAATTCTCACAGTTACCTGCAGAGAAGACATTTCCAACCTCACTTTATGAATAGGGAGACAGACTCTCAGAAATCAAACAGAAAGGATAAAGTGGTCCAGAGGCATCCCCTACCACAAAGGCTTCCTCTCTTATATTAGGCCCTGCTTCTGAATGGTAAATCCTAGGCCTAAAGGTCTGGTCCAAGCATGAGGGTTTCTCTGACATCTGCCCTGACAGTGCTCACAGACTAGTCATGGAGATACTTCAAGGAGAAATGAGACCACATACCTAGATGCAGCTGGACATCTTTCACCTCTAGGGTGCTAGACTTGCGATGCCGAGCAAGCTGGCAGGCCGCTGTCACCACACTCTCGATGAAATCATCGGCGATCTGCAGCAACATCTGGAGAGGGAAGTGGGGAGAAGAACCATGCCACTGGCAGGGCAGGCTCCTGTTTTGGGACAACTGTGTGCTCCTGCATCACATGTTTAGTAGACAGCTTTTCTCTGTGTAGCTCTGGTTGTCCTGGAACTCACTCTATAGACCAGGCTGGCCTCAAACTCAGAGATCTGCCCGCCTCTGCCTCCCTAGTGCTAGGATTAAAGGTGTGCACCACCACCACCACCACCACCACCACCACCACCACCACCACCGCCGCCGCCGCCGCCGCCGCCCAACTTTGTCCCTAATCTTTAAAGGAAGACAATGAGACTAAGACTAACCTGCTCATGGCTGTGCAACCAGAGAGCAGGAGAGATGAGATTCAGCCTTCAGGGTCAAGTTGTAATCCTGAAGTCTTTTTATTTTTATCTATTACTTAAATCTCTCTCTCTCTCTCTCTCTCTCTCTCTCTCTCTCTCTCTCTCTCTCTCTCTCTCTCTCTCTCTCTCTCTAATATGTATGGATGTTTTGCCTGCATGCACATCTGTGCCTGGTGTCTGTGGAGGCTAGAAGGTGTCAGATCTCCTCAAGCTAGAGTTACAGACAGTTGTGAGCTGCCATGTGGGTGCTGGGAATTGAACCCGGGTTCTCTGGAAAAGCAACTAGTGCTCTTAACCCCTGAGCCATCTTCCCAGCCCCACAGTCTCCACTCTTAACTACCATGCTGTATCATCTTTGGGACCCAAATCCACCTTACCTCCTCCACATCTTCATCCAGCTGCTCATTAGGATCCACTTCTCTGACTAAATCTTGTAATTTCTTCTTGGTCAATACCTAAAGTGGATTTGGGGGAGAGTTCTCATAAGTATTGACCTCATTACTCTCTAAAGATAGGCTGTCAAGTTGTTGAGTTTAGTTCTAGCTCCCAGACAACCCTACCTGGTGGTACAACTGCCAAAGTATACTCAAGGGAACGAGGCAGGGGCAGTTCAGAAGGGAAAAGGGGAGAGGAGTTTGGAGTTGAGGTCAGCATCTAGTTGCCAGACAGTTGATTCGGTTTTATCCTTCTCACTCTTCTTCCCTGCTCTGCAGAGAGCAGTCCACATTCTCTGCTCACCACACACTGTATCCTTGGCATCTGCTGCCTTTCCACATGTCCTTTCTTCTTCCTAAATGCTCAGGTCATGGTTCTCCTTTCTGAGAGGACTCCTAGTCCACCCAGGTAAAAGGACCCACGCCCCTCTTCCCCCTCTTCGGCTCTTCTGTCCTCTGGCACTGTGCAGATTTGTAAACCTGCCCATATCTGATTTAAAAGGCTAACAGGTTGAGACAGGTGTGGTGGCCCACACCTTTAATCCCAGCACTTGGGAGACAGAGGCAGGCAGATTCTGAGTTCAAGGCCTACAGAGTGAGTTCTAGGATAGCCAGAGCTACACAGAGAAACATCCCCACCCAAGAAAAAAAGGTTGCTGCGCGGTGGTGAGTTCAAGGCCAGCCTGGTCTACAGAGTGAGTTCCAGGCAGGCTCCAAAGCTACACAGAGAAACCCTGTCTCAAAAAACAAACAAACAGCCGGGCGGTGGTGGCGCACGCCTTTAATCCCAGCACTCGGGAGGCAGAGCCAGGCGGATCTCTGTGAGTTCGAGGCCAGCCTGGGCTACCAAGTGAGTCCCAGGAAAGGCGCAAAGCTACACAGAGAAACCCTGTCTCGAAAAACCAAAAAAAACAAACAAACAAAAACAAAAACAAAACAAAAAAAACAAACAAACAAAACAAAGAACGCAAAACACAATATTCAGCAAATAAAATGAAACAAATATCTGTGCTTTTGTGTCCTCCCACCCCTTTCTGTGAGACAGAGCATCACTATGTAGACCAGGCTGTCCTGGAACTTACTATGTAGACCAGGCTGCCTCTGCCTCCCAAGTGCTGGGATTAATGGCTTCTCTTTACAGTTATTTAGGGGTGAGTGAGGAGGGTGTGTGTGTGTGTGTGTGTGTGTGTGTGTGTGTGTGCAATTGACAGCATACATATATGGAAGTATGTTTTGTAGCAGAGGATGAGGACCTGCTGAAGGTGTGAGCCATCTTGCTCTTCTATGGTGGCCTCCATAGTCAAGCCAGGCTGGGGTCTGCTCAGCCAACCCTCCCACAAGCAGCTCAGCTAGTCCTCCCCTTGAATGTCTCCTCACCCACCCTATTCAGCCTGCAAGATCCTAGGCAAAGGATTTGCCTTCTTTCTGTTTTTGTCTCTCTTTTGTTTTTTCAAGACAGGGTTTCCCTGCGCAGCCCTGGCTGTCCTGGAACTCACTCTGCAGACCAGGCTGGCCTGCCTCACAGATCTGCCTGCCTCTGCCTCCCAGCTTTATATTTCTTTTCTTGTTGCTCTGGAAGGTGGGATCAGGGTCATAGGTACAAAGAGGGGAACAGATTTCAGAATCACTGAAGAAATTAATGGCAGCAGTAAGATAAACTACAAGAAGGAACAACTGAACACTCTTATTTTAGGAATAAGGAGCCCATGTATTATATAGATAACTCATAAAATATCTGTCATTGCTGAGTGTAGTGGCTCACGCCTGTAATCCTAACCCTTGGGAGGATGAGGCAAGAAGACTGCCCAGGACTTTGATGCTGCCTGGGGCTACATCTTTGAGTCCCAGTCACCCTGGGCTATACTAAAACACTAGCTCAACAAAATAAGACCAAAACCCCAGCCACCTGCCCTATGAAGGTTTGTTATTACATGTGTTTATATGGATATACACACACACACAGAGTCATATATAACAGAGTAAAAATTGATATTGTAGACAATTCAATAAAAATGCTATTCCAGAGGGGAAAGACCTTTTTCTTTATTTTATTCTATTTTTTGTTTGTTTATTTTATTTTATTTTATTTTTTTGAGGCAGGGTTTCTCTGTATAGCTTTGGCTGTCCTAGAACTCACTTTGTAGACCAGACTGGCTTAAAATCACAGAGATCGACCAACCTCTGCCTCCCAAGTGCTAGGATTAAACTCATGGGTCATCACTGCCCGGCTTGGGAAAGACCTTTTTCAACAGAGAGAAAGAGCACCCGTTATGTCCACCCCTGTACAGATTACAGGTCCAAACGAGAGAGAAGGGCTATAGAGAAGGAAAGCTAAGAGGTACCTGATTGTTTTCAGGGCTAAGCCGACCGCCTGCCCCAGGAGTGCCTGGTATCTTTACCACAGTGGTGCTATTGGCCATGGAGCCTTGTGGAGGGGTGCTGGCCGGCTCTGGTTTTATAGATGAGAAATTGGAGAGGTTGATTAGGGCTGAGGGGCCAAACTGGTTCATAATCTGCCGAGCTTTGGACTTCAGCTCATAGAGTTTATCAAGATCCTGCTTCTTTTTGGAGCTGTGAGGACCAAGGCCAATCAACTGGAGAGGGAAACAGAGACATCAGAATTACTCCAGGACACCTGCAGTAATGATGTTTTAACAGGAGATCTGTCATTGAGTCTTCAGTGCATCCAGGAGGGCGATTACTTGATTTTGACATTAAAATGGAAGGAATGAAGAATGTTCATTGCTCTCACTTGGTTTTAGAAACCATCTTGTCTCCAAAATCGAAATGAAATACTTCACAAAATTGAAATAGGGAAAAAAGTAAATGAAACGAGGAATCTTATTTACAAAAATAAGCTAGAATAAGCAAGACATTTTTGAGGAATTCATACAAGCAGACACACCACTAAGTACTTACATGCATCATTTTTTAAGTATGAAATAATGTTAAATTCAAATAAACAGCACAATCACATATTTAAAGCTCAGTCACAAAGCTTAAGAAAACCATTAGTTCATTTTCAAAACATGTTGAAGCATTTCAAAACATGCTTTAGTCCAAGGTAGGGCTCTGCCCAATAAACACAACTTTTAGCACCTGTTAAAAGCTCTGCTTTACCATAAAAAGCTTTTTTCCCTTTGTGTTTTAGCAATCTCCAAGACATGCTGAGACTGTCACCTGAAGCAGCTGCAGGTCCTAAATCTCAGAGCCCTGGGGCTGACTCTGTGAACACTGGCTGTGGTGTCAAGACCAGAAGCACATTCACCAAGTTCTGCCCACAGTGGCCTCAGTTTACTTACTGCTATCTGAGTGTCTAGATCTTTAATGACATCAGCAACAGCTGTAAGCCCGGAGTAATGAGAGGCAGCCATTTTCAAAAGCTACCTGTAAACAAATAACTAGCATCAAGTACCACCCCCAGCTACAGAAATATTCCAGTTGTGTGGTATGGGGCAACTTCATCAACCAGGATCCAGCTGAAGGTGCAACTCAGTGCTCGAGTTTGCCCAGTAGGTGTGAGGCCCTGGGCTTCGGACTGCATCAGTACAGTACTGTCAAGTCAGGGTGGCAAATCAGGTGGTGGTGGCGGTGGCGGCGGCGGCGGCGGCGGCGGCGGCGGCGGCGGCGGCGCACGCCTTTAATCTCGGCACTTGGGCGGCAGAGGCAGATGGATCTCTGTGAGTTCGAGGACATCCTGGTCTACAAAGTGAGTTCCAGGACAGTCAGAGCTGCTATACAGAGAAACCCCATCTCCAAAATACAAAAAAAAAAAAAGAAAGAAAGCTCTGCCTCTCCTGTTCTCTACCTCTACTCATCCCACAAGCAAATACACTCAAAACATGTCTGCAGCTGGGTGGTAACAGAACTCACTCTATTGACCAGCATGTATTTGACCAGGCTGCAGAGGATTAAAGGTGTGCTCCATCATACCCAGCAGCAAAAATCAGTATATTAAAGTTTTGTGCATCTTAGTATTAACTCAATATGCTACCCATGTATTATAACCATTATCTTTCTGTTTTATTTCTTATTTTTCGTTATTGTTGTTTGTTTTTAGATAGGGTCTCATTATGTACCCCAGGTTGCCCTGGAATTTACTATGGGACAACTGAACTCATGGACCATCTTCCTGCTTTAGACAGGCCAGCACCACCAGACCGAGCTCTTTTCTGAGACAGTCTTGTTACAGACCCTTGGTTAGCTCAGCACTTGCTAGTAGTCTAAATTGGCTTTGAATTTGGGATGATTCTCCTGCCTCATCCCTCCCCACTCCAAGTGTTGAGATTACAGATGTGGACCATCATGCCTGTGTGATGATATATTGTGCACCCCAATAAAGCTTAGTTGAAAGATCAGAGAAACAGTACAAGCCAGCCACCTTCTTACCTCTAGGAAATCCTCAGTCTCAAGAGAGTGAGTTCCTGTTTCCTCACACCTTACATACCTTTCTCTGCCCAGACATCACTTTCTGGGATTAAAGGTGTGTGCCACCACTGCCTGGCCTCTATGTCTAATCTAGTGGCTGTCCTCTTATTCTCCAGATAAGCTTTATTGGGGTACACAATATATCACATACCTGACTTCTGTAATTGTTTTTACAACTACAGAATTTTCTATTGTATTTATTTCTTTTGTTACGTTGTGTCATAGTGAATATCAAGGTCTGAGGACAACTTGGAGTTCATTCTCTCATTTCACGATGTTGGTCAAACTTAAATAAGGTTATGATCGGCAGCAAGCACTTTTTTTGTTGTTGTTTTGTTTTGGGGGTTTATTATTTATTTATTTATTTATTTTGAGGCAGGGTTTCTCTGTGTAGCTTTGGAGCCTGTCCTGGAACTCGCTGTGTAGACCAGGCTGGCCTCGAACTCACAGAGAGTCACCTGCTTCTGCCTGACAAGTGCTGGATTAAAGGCGTGCACCACCACTGCATGCAGCAAGCACTTATCCTGAGGCATCTCACTGGCCCTAATGATGGGAGTTGTTTTTGAGGATTTTTTATTTATTTTTTGTTTGTTTGTTTTTAAGGAAGAGACTGGATATTTAAATCAGGGTAGGATATTTTGCCTAGTATGTATGAGGCTATGGGTTTGATCTTCCGCACAGGGATGGACGGAGAGAGGAAGATGGCTGCAATCCCAGCTACTTGGAAAAGCAGGCAGTAACATCACTTGGGCCCAGCTGTTCGAGGGTAGCCTGGGCCACAATGTAAGACTCCATCTCAAAGAACAAAAATAAATATCTGGGCATGAGGGTGAATGTCTATAATCCCAGCACTTTTGAGGTAGTGGCAGGAAGATGTTCAAGGTAATATTGAGCTACATAGTCAGGTCAAGGCTAGCCTGGGCTACATGAGGCAGTGTAAAAACAAAAGGACCAAGAAAATAATAAAGGGAAGAATGAATTGAAAATGGTAACAGCACTGACGTGCCTTTAATCCCGGCACTTGGGAGGCAGACGCAGGCAGATCTCTGTGAGTTCAAGGCCAGCCTGGTCTACAGATGGAATTCCAGGACAGCCAGAGCTGTTACACAGAAAAACCCTGTCTCAGGGGATAAAAAAAAAATGGGGTGGGGATGATAACAGCAAATAGTTTGCAGGAGTCTTGTAGGGGGCACCGTGGGAAAACCAAGTCAGGTGAGCGAGGTGCTAGCCTTGACCCTGGTTCTACACCTGTTTTAGCAGCTGACCCAGTGCAAATTCTAAAGTACCTTCAAGCTTCAACAATGGAGTCCGTATGTGAATATTTCAGAATGTATTCTCTCTACCACACCTGTTTGACAGTGCAGAACACAAGTTGCTGATGTTGAGTTAGCAATGCATCGGTTGGTAGACTGCTTGCCTAGCATACGTGATGCCCTGGGTTGGATACCCAGTACCACATAGACTTGGTATAGTGGCATATGCCTGTAATTCCCAGCACTCACAGGATCAGGAATTCAGTCATCCTAGGCTACACAGAGTTTGAGGCCAGACTGGGCTAGTGACCCTGTCTCAGAAAACAAGATTGCAGGGGGCTGGAGAGGTGGCTCAGTGATTCATAACCACCCAAACTCCCACTACCAGGGGGATCTGACTCCTCTGGTCTCTAGAGGCACCTGCACTCACCCACACACACACACAATTCAAATAATTAAAAAAGAAAATAAAGCCGGGCGGTGGTGGCACAAGCCTTTAATCCCAGCACTCAGGAGGCAGAGGCAGGCGGATCTCTGTGAGTTCGAGGCCAGTCTGGTTTCCAAAGTGAGTTCCAGGAAAGACGCAAAGCTGCACAGAGAAACCCTGTCTCGAAAAACCAAAAAAAAAAAAAAAAAAAAAGAAAAAAAGAAAAGAAAATTGAACTATTTTGTAAATACAGGTAAGAATGCCAACTCATCAAAAAATTGTCACTAATTAAATTACTTATTATTATTAAATTAATAAGCTGGGCATTGTAGTGCATACCTGTAGCCCCAGCATTCAGGAAACTAAGGCAAAGAGATTGAATATAACTTTGAGGCTAATCTGAGTTATACAGAGAGATCTTATCTTAAAAAGACAACTCATCCCCCCATTATACTTAACAAGATGGTGATAGGGGCTTGCTTTCTCTCATAATTTGGTATAAATAAATTCTGATCACTTTATGCAAGCGTTTGAAAATAGTACCAGGAGCTGGAGAGATGAGTCACTTGTTGCTGCAGAGACACCCTGTCTCAAAAAACTGGGGTGTGGGGGTGGGGTGGGAGGGGCACTTGCTGCTCTTGCACAGGACCCGGCTTCAGTCCCAAGCACCCACACAGTGGCTCACAACCCAGTGCCCAGGATCCAATGCCCTTTCAGAATTCTTACAGAACCTGGTACATGTATATGTAAACATATATTGTGACAGAACATTCATACACATTAAAAAAAAAAATAAACATCTAGGTGTGGTGGTGTATTCCTTTACTCCCAGCATTTAGGAGGCAGGAGCAAGTAGATCTCTGAGTTAGAGGCCAGCCTGATCTTCACAGAGTTCCAGGAAGGCCAGGACTTGGAGATACCCTGTCTCAATACCCCTTCCCAATAATGAAAAAATAAATATATAAGTAAGTAAATCTTTAAAAAAAAAAAAATAGTGCCAGGAGCGTTGACTTCCCAAATCAACTTTATGGGTCTTTCTCTGTGGGCCTGGTGTGTGTCTCCTCAATGTTAATGAAAGCCTTAAACAAATAATAGTACCTAAGCCCAGCAGTCAGGAGGCAGAGGCAGGCAGATCTCTGAGTCTGCCTGGTCTACAAAGTGAATTCCAAGATAGCAAGGATAAAACAGAGAAACCCTGTCTTGAAAAAAAAAAAAAAAGTATCAGCTAAGCTACTGAGAAAATAATACCTTTAAGTATGTTAACCTAATTTTCTTTTTCTTAAAAAACAAAACAAAGAAAAACAAAAAATAGACCCACCACTCAATGGTGGCCCACGCCATTAGTCTCAGCAACCAGGAGGCAGAGGCAGTGGATCTCTGTGAGTTCCAAGACAGCCAGGGCTACACAGAGAAACCCTGTCTCGAAAAACCAAAACAAACCAACCAACAAACCAAAAAACCCAAACCTTGTTTTCCTTTATTTATTTATTTAGTGTGTCTGTGCACATGTGGTCAGAGGATCATTCTAAGAGTTGGTTTACTCCTTCTACTTTGCAGGACTCAGGGATCAGCCTTAGTGACAATCACCTTTACATCTCTACTAACTTTTTCTTTCGAGACACATTAAGTTGACATTGAACTCTGGATCTTCCTGCTTCCACCTCCAAAACAATGGGATTGCAGGCAAGCACCATGACACCTGGCTATGTTAGCCCAAGTGTCCACAACATCTAGTGCATGCTAGCAATTAACTGGAAAGTTAATCTCATGTAGCCCTGATTTTCAAAAAATTAAATACATCTTACTTTATTGTACGGAAAGAGTCTATAAATGTTCCTTTTCTTTTTTCTACCTTGAATGTCTATGCTTCTGTGAAAATACAGGAATTAGATCTCAACTACTACACTACAGAAGTCTCTTAGAAGTTACAGTCTTTGACACTAAAAAGAGTTAAGAAGGAGATGAGGAAGCTGGGTGTAGCGGTGCAGCCTATAACCCCAGCACTCAGGAGGCAGAGGCAGGTGGATCTCTTGAATTTGAGGCCAGCCTGGTCTACAGAGCAATTTCCAGGCTAGGGGGAGCTAAATGGTTGGGGAAGGAGAAGGGAAGGAGGAGAGGCGTGCTTTCTTTCATTCAGTGGCAGGCTCTGTATACCTATTCTATTTTGTTGACATGCAAACTAGACATGGAAGGAAATCCACTCAGAAAAGTTCAAGGATGTTTTAGAGGCACATCTGGGGCTAAATCATTCAGTCCTATGCCATTTAAGGCAAAGTTCTTAGCCTCTTTGGACACACTCACATGTACAATAGAGCTAACAATACTTAATGTGGAGCTGTGATAAGGAAGTGATGGAATACTGGCAAGTGCTTCAATTGCTGGGCGGTCGTGGTACACTCCTTTAATGCCAGCACTGGGGAAGCAGAGGCAGGCGGATCTCT